TTAAACGCAAAAAAGGGTAGTAAATGACGAGGCAAACAGCGAGCTATTTCACGCACGTCCTACCCGACCTGCCGCTAAGAGAAAAGAGGACGCTCACGAGGCACGCATGCTGCGGGGTATTATGGGTAGGGCGCCAGAGGGCGCTATTGTATATAACTCTTAGCGGAAAATACCTGCCGGTAGGGGGAATATGCATAAGTAGTATTGCTCTACAGGTAAGTAGAGTGAAGTAGACATGCACCACTAGGGATGAGGGTCGATATATATTGAAAGTTACAAGTTCATATCATGACCCGTCTAGGAGAAAAGTCGCGGAGAAGTTTTGTTTTGTTGCCACGGCTCAATTCTGATGCCCAAATCAGGTGGATCCACCGGATGTACTCCTTCTTTAGCAGCTCTTTCTGGATGTCATCCTCCTGTCTTGCATTTCCCTCCAGGCCCAGATAGCGGTAGGTCGCATCTAAATCGAAACTCCTGATGACTTCTCTGTTACTAGGATTTTGGGAAGTACTTTGCTTGCCATGCTTGATGATTAGTTTAGCACACTTCTCTATTCCAAATTTCATTTCAATGTCGGTAGAAAAGTTTGACACAAAATCAAGCAAATCGGATAACTTTCTGGCATTCTTTGAGTAGATCTTTAGGTCATCCATGTGTAGTACATGACTGACAGTACACTGTGGCATATCTGTTCCTGGGCCAACACTGTACCCAGCCTGCAACCATTGTAGGTCTTTGCTGAGTGGGTTGGGGGCAATGCAAAACAGAGGGGAAGACAATGAGTCCCCTTGGAGGATCCCTCATCTGATCTGAATTTCTCTTGTGTAGACCTCTGCATCTTTCCCTTTGATGTACATCTGGGTATGGCATTTTGACAGAGCAGTGGTGAGAATGGTCACAACCTGGTTGTTGATTTTATAGAGCCTCAGGGAACTGGCTTTCCAGCTGCGAGGAACACAGTCATATGCCCTCTGATTGTTGATCCATGCTACTGAGAGATTGGCATCCTGCATAAACATTCTATCAATCAACAGCTGCTCTTATTGTTATTATTGTTATTATTGTAACAATTACGGGAAATGGGTAATTTGGGAGACATTCCCATAGACTTGTGCACTTCTAACTTCAATGCGCCCTAACCCAATATTCCCTTGTCCTTTTTCCACGAATTTCTGTACGTTTACTAATTAGACCACGAACAACAAATAAAATCTAATTGCGACAGCAAAAGTTTGCCTCTGAAGGGGGGCTGTGACATTAGGGAGACATGAAAATGTCTCCCTAATGACCAATGTCTCCCATCGTGCAAAGAAATTACGATAACGTGTCTCCTTAATGGTACCTTAACACGTATAACTGTTTTTATTGTTAAATAATATAATGTAAAATACACAACAAATTTCATGACGATCGGACCTTCCCTTTACATGTTTTTGTTTTTGTTTTTAATAAAACTGCATTTTCGATGATGCCAAGATGATGTCACACATTTTTCCAAATTGTGTGCACAAACATGTATTCATGACCAACTAAACCTATTACAAAAATAGTTTAGAAGTTAGAATTTTGTGAGATATGCTTTACCTCAACACTGTACATAAAATCATATGATGACATCATCGTGATGTCCAGTGTTGTAGTCGAGGCCACAACCTCCGAGGCCTCCGAGGGAGTCCGGCGAATTTTATTTTTTAAAGAAAAAAATCTCAAGTTTTGTATCACTGAAAGCAAATTACACAACAAAATCAATGGCGTTTGAATCAGGTTCATAGATGTTTGCCCTTTGGAGATACAACAATTTAAATGGCCAAATTTTGAGTTTCTATTCTGTAAGATTTACATCATTTACTTTTAGCATGTTTTATAAATCTTATTTTCAAAACCTATCAAAATGCTTAATATCATAGGAATCCCCATTAAATGAACAACAACTTGATTTTTGAATCAGGTTTTTACCACTCATAACCAAAAAGTTACGACCCCCCCCCCCCCGACCTCTGCACTGTCCAGGCGCGCGCCGAGCAAACACCGCGATGCGACCAGACAATGCCAGACGGCCCGCCGTTACGCACGGGCAAAGCATAGTTCCAATCCCGCTCCACACAACGGGATAAGTGTCCACGCATTATCACTGTTAATACCGCGGTACCAGACAAAGTCTGGCAATGGCCAATCCCGCTCCAAACAACACGGCAACACGGAACATGCGTGCATGATATCACTCAGTTCATCAAAATGACCATGAATTCTCGGATCATCCGATTTGAATCCAATGGCTTCGAAGAATTTTAAGATCATGGCAAGAGGTAGGGAGTCCAGAGGTTTTGGCCGTATATCCGTAACCACGCAAAATTAGTCAAATTCAAACCGTGCTTATACATGTAATAAGTATCAACATGGCTCTAAAAATACAAAAAAGTATCCTGGTACCACGAGGAATACTGACTCCTATTATTAAAACATTCATTCAGAACTTTGCATTCATTTGGATGGAAAAACAAATTCTGAAATCGCGCTTTCCAAAATATACATCTGAAGCTGAGCTGAAACTTCATCAGGTTAGTTGTTCAACACCCTTCTTTAGATGTTTAACACTTTTGTTGCTTCAAACAAACAAAATGCACGAATTACAAATGATGGACTATACCTTTAAATGAAATTCTATGAAGTTTCTCAGGGACAGGCGCAGTTCTAGAGCCAATATTTTGGGGGCTAGCAAGGTGGATCCAGATTTTTTTCAGGGAGGCGTGCTGAAATGTAGACAGGTTATTTTCTCCGGACACTTAGACCTCTGAAAATCAATACGTGGTGGGGGTGCCATATTTGATAAAATCTTACAATCAGGCACACTATATTAACTAAATATGTACAAATGCACCCTTCTCATTTAGGGGGAGAACGTTCCCATGTACGTCAAATTCTTACATTTTGCTAGTGCATTTTTTTTTAATGAAATTTTGTTTTTTTTTTTGGGGGGGGAGGGCTAGACAAAATGTTGGGGGGCTAAAGCCCCCCCCCCCATAGAATCGCCACTGCTCAGGGATGGTAATTCCTTCAGTCTTCCAATTTGACACAAGAATAATGGGCACAACAAAAGGCATCACAATGGTGCACTGAACACGCAACACGTATAGAGCATGCATGCGAAAAGGAAGTATAGTAAACCAGATTGCGAACTGGAAAACTGCCATAGCACATAACTTCACTATTGTCATGAAGAGCCACACAAGAAAAAATGTTTGAGAAAATCGCAAAGAGAAGTTCCTCCTTTTTTAAAACTGCACAAACCACTACTTTGCAACACCTTTATGCAGTAAGAAAACATTCACATGATTCTTTGAAAGGTAAACTTATATGTAAACCCAGAAATTAGAATCAGCACAATGGTTAATTAGCCAAGATTAATTAGTAAAGATGTATGTCCCTTCATGAAAACGAAAATCCATGTTTCCCATATTAAGACATTTTTTTTTCCATACAGAAGGAGCACATGCGCAGCTGAGAATGTAATAAAGATGTGTGGCTCTTCATGAAAACGAAAATCTCTCTTGACCTACTTTTATGCCTTTTCGTCCAATACGTTTTGTACGCGTTTAAGGGACAGCTATGTTCGTGTTTCTTCGTGAAAATGCAAAATGCACTAATGGAGATGCCGGTCCATTGCCTCATTAATGTAATTTAGAAATTAATGATGTTTTGCTCACAGAAGCATGTCAAAATGGTTAAGTAGGATGTTTTAAAGCGAAATAGTGAAAAACAAAAAATCGAAATTGAAAACGGTCATTTTGAAATGTGTCTCTTCGTGAAAACGGTGACGATATTTATGCATCACATATAACACATAAAGGGTTGTGCAGGATTCCATGACTTTTTGGTTGGAATATCAAATTTCTACGACTTCTTGTGTAAAATAGCTAAATTCCATGACTTTCAATAACTTTACATAATAGCTACAAATTCCAGGATTTTTAGGATTTTTTTCAAGACTGCGCGAACCCTGATGAGCACATGTGTACTGTAAAATCTCATACCGGTCTCAATATTTAATATCTGCTATTCAGATAATCTCCATGATATGACATATACAGTTAATGTCCTTGACCTGAACTGTATTTACAATGAATCTTGCAAGAGGACCAGATCAAAGTTGTGTAGATCAGGATGTCAACCAGGAAAGAGAAGGATCAGCACCCGATTTCACGAAGAGCTGCGACGTGTCGCTACTTGAGTTACGATGTGTAACACGTCGCAACTCGCGACAAGTCGTATCATCCATTTCACGAAAGTTGTGATGTGTTGAACGCGTAGTAAGTTCCTTGACAATGGCTTAAAACACGTCGCAAGTTACGACGTGTCAAGTGGTCATCGCAAAATAAGAAGAGTCCCTTTCTTAGCCAGTTTAATGCCGGCCATTAACATTACATACACATATAAGATTATAATACAGAGGCAATGTGTGTAAAGTTGTAAATAGAAAATTCATTGAATAATTATGAATTAGACTGGAATATTGCAGCTGAAATTTCAATGTAGCTATACAGTCCACAGAGAGCTTGTTTTCCTTTAAAATTGCATCGCACGACCGCCATTTTGTTTATGTTTTAACAAATTTCGAGCTGAGATCCGATGACTCTTTGTGAATATCAGATGACTATTTACTGTACGCTGACTAAATACATAAAACAGTCACCGAGTTGTGCTATAAATACACCTACGACGCGTCGCACTTATGACGTGTTTTGAGAAATGGATCACAGGACGCGTCGAAGCTGCGACGCATCGTAGGGATACGACACGTCGCATCGCTGCGATGCATTGTAAGTAACAAAGAGTTCAATGAAATTGGGTGCAGATCTAGGGTTGAAACAGCAAGCATAAAGTGTTAATGCTATCTCTGGATCAGATCCCCACCCCCTCACAGGCTTGCAGAACCCGATTTTTCTCAGTTGGATCCAGTGTGAAAAGATTTTAATTAATAATGTTAATTCTATTAATCATACCTCCTCGTTGTTAATCTTCTTAATATCAAGATGAGACAGTCTGAAGAGAAGGTAGGGCTTCCATAGGGAGAAAGCAGTGATTGGATTGCCCTCAGTAGCAATGTTGATGCTGTCTAGATGGCGAACTGAAGTCAGTGCATTCAGTTGTTGAAGGCTGCTTAGGTTGCATTCACCAAATAGGACAGTCTGGTAGGTAGAAAAATGGAAGAATACATTACATGGGGACTCAATTGGTTCTTATGGTACAGGTTTTAAAACTCATCACTGACTGCTATCACCTTTCCTTCTTCATAAAGAACCTTGAGTATAAAGATCACAAAATACAAGAGAGCACATACGTCATTATAGATGATGACAATCACTTCTTTCAATCTGAAACAAAGAGACTGCAGACAGAAAGACATTTTTAAGTCTTCCCTATAACTAAGCAGAGAGTATTTACGGTAGTGAACCATGTTTATGGACACCAAACTGCATGTGCAAATACACTAAATGTCCATCCATTCTAGATTTTGTTGATGTAACGTTCATTGTGTTGGAATTATCTTTTCCCTTAAGAAGAATGAAGAAGAACAAACAAACGAAACAAACCAAACCAAACAAACCAACCCAACCAACCCCAAAACAGACCTACCCCCACCTGCACACATCTTTGTAAGGGGCCTGTCACACCAGAACGTTTCAGGCCAATGCGTGAGTAGTGCGTTAAAAACAGTTGATACGCTGGCAAACGCTGAACTTTTACAGAAAAAGTCAAGTGGAACCATGATTTCAGTGTGTCCATAATGCGTGGATAACAGGTTCATAGCGTATGCAAGCATGTGAGAAGCATGTGAGGAACGCTCTAAGCGTGTGAGGAATGCATCACTGATTTATAGATGAAATATGACAGCGTATCACCAGCGTTTGCCAGTGCATGAGTAACGCATTAGTAACACGCTCAACGACTGATGAATGACTGCCCAGCGCTTGAGTAGCACGTTCCAATGCGCACCAGCGTACTGCAACGACCACGTGATTTTTTGTAAAAGTAGCCGACGTGCTACTACAGTACTTGCGCTCTTCATTGGTGAGACCTCACTGGCTGTAGGGCTTCATCATGGTGGGTTGCAGAGCGAAGGCATCGTCGCCAATGAAGAAGTAAAGCACATCCTGGTTGTAGTTGGCAAGAGGATCTGGTGCAGGAAAACCTAGCCTACCATCTTCAGCCAATTCTTTCAACTCAGACTCATTGTAGATCTGAGCATATGATGCTGTTCCAGCGCCACCAATATCTGCCCAGATTAATTTGTAGTCCGCATCTACAAGCGCAATCAGAACAATGGAGTAGAATCCTTTGTAGTTGTAGTACATGGACCCACTATTTCGAGGACACCGGCATGTAACGTGCTTTCCATCCAGGGCTCCAAGTGTATGGCAGGGCTCGAATTTCATGAAAAAAAAGCACTAGACAGCAGGTCTAGTAACCGAAGAATCTTAGGGCCCTGTCACACTTCTGTGTATCTTAATTCCTTAAGAGTTGCGCATTGACATTTTTTTCATACGCAGTCGTACGCACAATACGCACCTCATATGCATCTCTATCGTTTTGTGTAGGTTTTGTGTACGCAGATATACGCATGGTACGGCCCAGTACGCAGGATAGTTTTGGGCATGCACAAAACTACGCTGCGTATGCTGTCACGCAGGTCATAAGTTATAAATACGCAGCGCATCGGTCCCGCATCGGTCGAGTGCGTTACGAGTATGCTATGTGTTCGTGACGCACCCCGTCAGCATATGAGCCGCCTGTATTGGACGTATACATAGCATACTTGCAGCGTAGATGCAACGCACGCTGGACGGCGAGCGGCAGAAATGCGGCGGGAATACGCTCAGAAGTGCGTCAAGCATGCGGTCGGCATAAGTCGGGTGCGTCCGGAATACGCTCGTCATGCGCACTGCATACTGACCTATTCGCAGCCCGAAAAATAATGCTTTGCACTGCATACGGAACTCATACGCATCTCATACGCAATGGATGCGCTGAATTCGTTACTTGTACGCTATATTTGCGTCGCTCATAAGTCAAAGTAATCAAAAAATTTTGACGTTTTGAGCGTACGGCTGCGTATTGAAAAATTTTGCTAAGGAACTCATAGGGAATTAGGATACGCAAAAGTGTGACAGGGGCTTTACTGGACCTGAACTATTTTTACAAGACCTGTGTCATAAATAAGAAAAAAAACATTTTGCACTACATGTATGTGACAGGAAGACAACAAAATGCTACATGTATTTACGAGTTGCGCGTTTCGTGTGTGCACTTGGCTAGTTCCTTGGAAAATTAGTCTAATTCTCTTGCAGGGGCACAGCAGTCCTTCATGTAAAGAAAATCCAGGAGAGCTATAAATGCTCTCCTCAAATCTTTGCACTACGAAAGCTATACAAAAAGGGCCTCAAAAATGACGAAAACTTGCCTTAAGCGTTAACGAAAATAATGCCGTTGATAATCTTAAAAATAATGGAAAATGCAGGTCATTTATACCATATGCACAATGCTAATTACGACGAGAAACTGGCTAACAATGTCTGAACTTCGCTTGGTACGAATGTGCAATGATGCACTGTGTGTTGTGGACCGACAGTGGGCCGGCATTGAGCTTCGTGTAACGGTATGTGATTTCGGTGAAACTCGCTGCATCATTTCACTTCATATACCAGTAGTATTTCCTCGAAATAAATTCATGAACACGGGAAATACATACACAGACAAGAGAGATCAAGTTCTGTGAGTATAAGCTTGCAAAGATCGTCTTTCTCCTTCGATGTTTTCTTGGCATTTTACGATGTCTATTCCGTGCCGTCGACGTCCGGCCTGCATGCAACTGTACTGCAGTGTGCATGCACCGCGCGCACACGACTATTGCATTGACTAATTACCGCATTTCCATCTTGCCAGTGCGCGGCGCAGCGGGAACCAGTCACTGCTGCAATAGCACGTTCAGGCCCACGTGTTTTCATACATCAAGCAGCTCTGTATGTACATGTACATGTACGTACTGTATACGTATACGTGCAACTGGCATGACTGGCGCGTTGGCCGAGGCAGCTTTGTTGCGTTTCGGCACGGCACAGACAGTTTTTTGGCCGGTAATTTTAATCAATCAGGTAATAATATGAACTCAAAGCACTCTATTAATCAGACCTCAACTGCTAGTATATTTGGGGGTCATTTTGTTTGTATAGTGCAAGAAAAAAACACTATACAGCCGGACTAGTGCAGTCACACACAGCACTAGACCGACGCTAAAATCACTAGACACGGTCCACGGTCCAGTGGATATTTCGAGCCCTGTATGGGGTAGGTTACACTTTTCCTAGAACTTGTCAGCAATGGCACGCCATCCCTCAGGAGTGGTTGGACAGATCATCACCTCTGGAAGGCATTTGTCGATGATGGCCTGGCAAACTTCTCTGACGACGATTGAAATGGTGTTGTGGGGAACCCTCCAGCTGAACTTAATCGAGGCATATACTTGGTTTCAGAGGCAAGGTGACGCAAAGTCAAGGCAAGCTTCAGGACAGGCTCCAGCGGCTCCCTGTAGGCAGTATGTTCCTTGGTGATCCTTGGACCCACTCTGGCTAGCACCTCGTCGAACATCTCAGGGGGGCATCCGCATGAAGTTCTTGAAGGAGGCCTGGTCCTCGTTCCGGAGTTCCACCAGAAGATGGTCATACTGGCCGAACTGCAGTCGCCTCCCAATCCATAGCCTTACCCAAAACCTTCTCCTCTCACGTCTTCTCCTCCTTCTCCTATTGGCTTGGACCTGGTGAAGTGCCAATTCAAGCAAGTTATGGTAATGTTGGAGAACAGCAAGATCTTCTTGGCGCAGCAGTTCCAGCTCCATCTTCAATGCTGTCTCTAGGAGAAGTGATGAAGAGGTACCAGCAGCACCCTATGTATATACAGGTACCCCAATACACTGGATAATACGCTATCAATACGCTAGCATACGCTGAACGCGTTAATTGGTCGTTAGGCAGTCGTTGAACACGCTAGAGGGTCATCATGATGTCACTTCAGACAAAAAAATTCCCACCAAAAAAAAATGGTGATATGAAAAATTAAATTCTAAGAAATGTTAAAAAACAATGCTACTCACGGACACATTTGGGAATCTGATCCTAATCTTGTGTAGATGCTTGGTTATCTCGTCAAAGTCAATAAATTTGAAGGAGATGGTTGTGATAGATCCTGCAGCCTGTATCCCCCAGCTCTTGTCCAGAGCTTCCATGGAGCCAGGACCATAAAGGTATAGAGTATCTCCGTCTAGTTCTGCAAGATGACAGGCCTCAGAAGATATGCTAATGATACAAGAAATTTAGTAGAATATATTTTCAATCCAATGTTTATTTTTCAGGTATATATATAATTGTTGTTACAAAATGTCCTTCTTTTGTAACCTATATGTGATGCGTTCAGGCTAAATGAGTCGTTTGTCGGGAATTTTCATTTGGAGATTCAGACCAAAATAGAACCACTTCATCACATCACTTCATCACATTTCTTGGTGTTTAGACTTCCATAATTTTGGAACTAAAGATGGTACCAGCATGCGGTTTTCACAGCAGTAATGCTGAGATTGTGCTCTTTTCAAATCTGTAAACAAAATTGGGCCAAGGGTCGACAAACAACTCATTTAGCTTGATTGCATCACATATGGGTTGTTGTGAAGGAACCTCTGTTCTTCTTTTCAAATATTGTTGCTAAGCACAATCTTACATAACTTTGACAAATAGAAAATCAATCAATGCATGTTGTACCTGTTTCCTCATACCTTTTAGGACCGAGGACTGGTACTGATTCTAGGGGCATGGTGGGACACGACTTGTAAAAATTACTTTTATGTAGCGAAAACAGCCTCATTTGGGCCCTTGAATATCTCTGCTGTCTACAATGATGAACAGTGTGCCTTGGGTTGGCTACCAGCCACATCTATTTTTCCATATAGCCCTCGACTTTACTGGGCCAAAATTAGTTAATTTTGGCAATAAAGATATCTGCATGACCTCTTTTAGTACATTAAAAAACACTGTTAAAAAGTTGAAAGAATCTATCATACAAACAAGTGCTGTTAACCCTATTAACCCTATTGTAATGTCCTTAGATCCTTGATTAATTTCCCATTAATGTTGTCATCATTTGGTTGCACTCCCCACCCCCACCACAGTCCTGACAGGGTTAAGTGAATGTCAAGGGAAACATGGTTTGAGGTGTTGGCAAAGCATTAAACAGGCATGCAACTCTTCTATTTCCCCCCCCCCCCCCAAAGGAGGAAAGGTTTGTACCAAATTGCGAGAGCATAGCACAAAGCCAATGCAGCATGGAAAGGGTCATCTAAGGGCCTCGGAAAATTTGGAATTCCACATGTTCTGCTTTTTAAACTTTTTCATGGCATATTTCTTATTAAAAATGATTACAAAACAATGTTCAAATTTGTGTTCCTTTTTTAAGTTAAAGGTAGAGTATATCATTTTAGTTTGCCTTTAATTTGGCAAACATAATTCGACCACTATAATTTGACCACTATAATTCGTCGGTTCAGTGCATGACATCGTGTAGCTGCAATCAGCTGAATGAGAACATGTCCTGGATGCTGATTTCTGGCGCAATTCAAAATAGAACTCAGCAACTTTTGAATTAAAATCGAGATCCTAAAACATTGTTTTCTCAGAATATACAGCATTCGTTGAGCTGAAACTTCATCAGGTTAGGTGTTAAGCACCCTTCTTTAGATTTTGAGCAATTATGTTGCTTCAAACGAAAATTGCATGCATGACAAATGATATACTCGACCCTGAACTAAAACCACGAAGCCGCCATGGCTCGCTACCGAGAAGGGAGGCTGAAGGTAGGGGATGGCCATGATGGAAGGGGATCAGGATTCAGGATGGTGAGCCAAGATGTAGGGATTTTTTTTTTTAAATGCCAACATAAAAGTCAACAAATGCCCATTTACATGAATGTACTTGTACCACATCACTTCCGTCACCACACTCTCCCATCCTTCTCCCATCCACTTCGCCACCCACACTCACCCTCCCCCACCCCAACCCTCTCCCACCCACCCCACCCTCTCCTATCCATCCCACCCCCACCCATCCTACCCCTTTCCCCATCCCACCTCTTTCCACATCCCCAATTTCACCCCACTAACTAATAGATCGAACTAAAAAAATCTCATGCCCAATCACCATTACCACACTCCCCACCCCACCCTTCCCCCACCCTTCTCCCATCCCCCTATCCAACCCCACCCCACCCCGAGGATGTAGAAAACCCATGGACCCTGTCACAGCAGGCAACAATTGTTTTGTTATACCACAGTAATAGTTTACAGCTGTCCAATTTTGTAACTGGTAATGTCTAAAACTGTGGATCTCTTCCTGTTACGGTGCAGATGCTGTCCTGTTCCAACTTGTCAAAATTTCTGATCTCGTCTTTGGAACGAGAAAGAAACCTCTTCTTTGGAGGCGACCTGTTGTGATCTGCCGACATTGAGCAGACAAACAGTGACAAACTATGTTAAACAACAGAAATAGTCCTTCACTGTCCCCCACGGCACATCTCACAGGAACATACATCAATTTACGTTGTGCCAGTATAGCTACAACCTCGTTCCTGAGGTCATACTAATATAATACTTTTCCAGCCTTCGCTATGGTTTAAAGGTGCCAGAGCGCTCGCGACACACAGAGGCACCCTGAGATATCTCCTCCGGGCTCCAGTGGAACGTCGATGACGCGACGGCTGGTGGAAGGGATAGCTGGGTTTGAGTTTGGAGTGTCATTCTCCTAACCTTTGACAGAATGTCCTCCCACAAGGCAGTGGGGGTTCAAGGGGGAGGCAGGCAGGCAGGCAGGCAGGCAGGCAGGGCTGCCGACTGGAAGCACGGAACCAGTGTGTCTCCAGCCTGGACGTTGACCCAAGAGATGCCGCAGTTCATCCGCTCGTATGCTTCGAGCAGGAACAGTCCAGAGACGGCAGGAGGCCGTGGCTGAACACCATTGAACACTACCCGGAGGCAGCGACGGTAAGGGGTAGCCTCATCTGACCCCAAGCTTTCTACAAGGTACCAGCGTTGTCGCCGAATGCAGTTTAAAGTCAAACCCAGGACTAGAATATAATACAACGCAGTGGAAACGACACTTTCAACAGTGAGAAAGATCAAGATAATGTATCCTGTGGGGTACATCACTCATGTACCACGGCATACATCGCTGGTGTTTCTGGGCATGTCACATGATCCACCATCGACCAATACAAATTCACAATCTATTACAGTGGTATAATTGTATGTATAAAGGGACCCGTGGATCCTACTGAATGGGGCCACCCACTAACAATTATTAATAAGTAATAATAATATGAAGTCTGTGGCTCTTGAAATTGAAAAAATAAATAAATAAAATCTCTCTGGTTTATGCACAGAGCCCAAAGCCAAATGAGATTTCTTTCCATTTCTCTCTCCCAAGATTATTATTTTTCATCCCCAACCTATAACTCACTTTGCCAGTAGGTCAGGCGTGGGTGCCTTGCTGCATGTCCTTGTCTCTGAATGCATAGAGGCACGGGATAACTCCCCACTCTTATCATCAGGCAGATCCATGGATTGGCTCTGGTACGTTTCCATATCTCCAGACCTATTAAAAATATATGCAGGAATATATGTACTACATGGTAGATTCAAGGACAGTTGGAACTGCCTCTTGCACTTGGTGATTATAATTTTCAATGTGTATTACATGTGTTAACGCTGATTGTTAGAGATGTTAAATTACATCACAAAAGAAAAGAAGTATGTGTTTCTGTCTGAAGACAGATCACAGGGCTTTACCGCTGATTTTTAATGAACTTATGGTTACACTCTGAAAACAAAGTAACACACGCATGTATATGAAAAAAAAAGCAAAGGAGTACTAAAAGAATGTTGTTGTTTGTTCTCATATATAAAAGCCATTAAAAATCTTATGATGATGTCATTATGACGTCTCTTCAATTTTCACATATAACACTTCCCTTACTATACAATACTAAGTTTCAACCGAATTACATATCTTCCGACAGGTTGTTTGGACAATGTAGTTATTTTGATATTATGATTACTGTAACAGTGTCAAATTTTTTTTTTAATGTTTTTTTTTTACGGTTTTTGTATGTTTTAAAGGTTTCGCTTTGAGGCCTGTGACTAATTTATTATTTTTAAATTGAACAAAGAAATTGAATTGTGCAGGTTTTGAACCTGCGACCTCTGGACCGCCATTCTGATGCTCTACCAACTGAGCTATCAAGTTCTATGTTGAAGGTTCCCAATATTGTGAATGTCTGACTAGCGCCCCATGAACAAGAGCAGACCAAAATGTTTTATTTATTCAAAATAAATTATAACACCATAAACATTTACTGTTCACAATCTCTTATCTTCCTGCATTTTACAAAAAAGGGTTTGTTTTCAGTTTAAACGTGCTCATGCACATGCACAGGAAGTAATTACATGCACAACTAGTTTCACTTCTCTGAACTTGCATGTAAAATAAATGAACCGCAATGAATAGAAAAACAAGAATCATTGCGAACATCTAATTTTCATAAAATTAAACACTGTTTTTCCGAAGTGGCTTTTACTTGAACTCTGAAATTTAAAACTGACTGAAAATGTAAATTTTATGAATGAGACCAAGCCATTGGCCTACAAGTTGTAATTTCAGAAGTTGATGGATATAAACATCGACACAAAAATGGCAATTTATGCAAAACAAGAAAGTTCACTTTAAATACAAGCCCAAATGAATGCCACCATTAGATTTTGATTATTCTAAATAGGTAAATGTAACATTCCAACAGAAAAGAAATGACAAACTAAATCCACAAAATGTATGGTTCAAGCATAGTACAAAAATGACACACCAGGCTTTTGCTTGAATCAATCTAACTCATAGCTGCAGTCCATATATCATCTAAATTGTCACTTATAAGTGAAACTATGAAGTGTGACATCTGAACATCTTAAAAGGCGTTATACAGCCTGGAATGCGCCCAATTGGGCTACAAAACATGTTTTAAACGAAATAACATTAATAAGAAAGAACATTTAAAAGTAGGATATAAACGTTGACACAACCATCCTTTTAAAACTTGGCTTTTTTTGTGTTATTCTTGCAAGAACCATGCAAGAACGAATTTCGGGGGTCAAAATTTTGTAACTTTGTTATTAAAAATGGATTAATTTCTGGTAATAATAAAAGTGTTAATAATAATCCCTTTTCCAGAACATCGCTATACCGAACACCGCTATACAGAACATTCGGCTATACCACTCATCGTCCTTGGCTCCTGATATTTTAGTACAAAATGAACCAATCATTGTTGTTGAAATGTGTCAACAGAAGAGTGACAAGTGGCTATTATTTTTCCAAGGAAAAGAAGAAGGGAAAAGCCACCCATTGCTGTAGGTAGTAAGCTAAAAAAAACCTGCCTGATTAGGTAATTCAATAGTTGGCACGCATTCAAAGTCATCTTTCAGAAACTACCAGGGCGTGCAGGGTGAAGTTCTGAAGGGCGCTCTTTATTGAAAAGTGAGTACCGGAGCATCGGCAGCTTAAAATCGCTATATCGAACGATCACTATTACGAACAATTTCTGCGAATCCCGTGATGTTCATTAAAACGGCGTTCCACTGTACAAAGAAATGTAGAATTGGGATTAACAGCCTTCTCAGAGCACCATTTGATGTAGTGCTGTAGTTGGCTAATATAAGTTCATCTAGATGATGCCTGTCCGCTTTTTGGCTGCCAGGGTTAAAGCTCCTCTGAAATGTCTGGTGTTTGAAATGACAATTTGACAGTATCCAATCGGAGAGATGAAGGCTGATTGGATCCGGGTGAGGTAACTGAGACCTGGGTTTGGAGATTAAGTCTGGTTGTTCCAGTAAGGTGATGGGGTAGCAGGTGCGGATCCAGAGGGGGAGGGGTATTTTGGGGACCCCCCCCCCCCCTGTCAGCGTTGTCCCAGCAACACGAACACTTAGATTAAGTATACATCTGTATATGTGTGTTTGTGTCAGTAGTCCGTGTGTATTGTTCGTAATCGTTGTACCATAAGTAGACTGTAAGTATATAACTAATAAATAATGCATGTGTCTTATAAATATTCATGTTGCCATGGTCCTATCCTTTGTGTCTTGTTGGCGTTTCTTTAAAATAAACCCTGCCTGTCATGTGACCCGCAGCCCGCGCGTTTTATAAAAAGATAGAGATACGCCAAAAACAGAAAGACGCCGATCACGATCAATCTGTAGAAAAATAGCATTTTGCTGACTGCAAACTTGCAATATCGCCTAGACCAGGTCTTGAAACCGGCGATGAACTCCAAGAGTCATACTGGACTTTGATCTGCCATCAGACCATGGCAAACTGGCTTAGCTAGAAGCCGTTATCCCCAAAGACCGTCGCTTGAGGCAGACAGGCCCTGCGACAGGCTGACAGCAGCTACCCAGCGTCACCGCCGTCAAGCTGGTCGACCGTGACGCCTGGTTTCTACATCACCCGGCTGCCTACAACAGAGGCTCCGTCGAGGTGGCTGCGCACCGTCAAGCCAGTGGTCCAAGTGCGAGAGAGTACTCCACCCATGCACATGCCAACGCAACTTGAGCCGTAAACTATACGGTGGGCCCTAAATATTGAATAATTATTGCCGGCTTAGAGTAGGTTTAATATAATAGTATTAAAGTTCATTTAGTTAGGTGATTTAACTATTTGTTCGTGTTTGCTTCATTAGATTCTTCTTAGCGTAGGTTAAACTTCTGTTGAGTTAACTTGGTTAATTTAAATAGATTTGGTTGATTATAAGTTCTATACTTCAAGCTTTGACTTTTCTGCATTTAATTCATTGATCCATTTGCATTACCTAAGGTTAGTTTTATACTCATCTCTGGTATTGATTTACACTATTTATTGGGTTACCATCGCCTCATTCTATAAATAATTTTCGTAAGGATTTGTATACATAATATTTGTAAATATTATTCGTAGCCTATAAATATACAGTTTGTGCATATTAAATAATTTGTAAATATACAGAACGTGTCAGAGGATTATTATTGGTGTTTGCACGAAGTTGTGGGTGGGAAAACCAGTCCCGAAAATTCCACTGCACTAATTTCTGGGGGCAGTTGTGACACCCCCCCCCCCCCATCGAGCTCTGACTCGGGGGGGGGGGGGGGGGGGGGTTTCCCATAGAAATACATAACAAATAATTTGACACCCCCTTCCCCTGCTCTGACACCCACCAAAATATTGTACTGGTAATAATGTTCACCTAGCTGTGCACAAAATTCGGACAGAGCCAGCTGGATGTATTACACTATTCTGTACTACAGTGTGAATGATCATCAGATTTGAACAGCGCCTCCATTAAAAGTATGGGATGAGCCCCCCCCCCCCCCCTATTGATTTCACGGAGACAAAGTGTCCAGAAAAAAAACAACCTGTCTACGTGTCAGCATTGATTTGCTGATGTGACACCCCCCCCCCCCCCCCCCCGCATTAATTCCGCATTAATTCCTGGATCCGCCCCTGGGTAGTGAATGAGTAGATCCATAAGTTATGGAAATGAAGCCTGTCTTTGCCAAAAGGGGCTATGAGGATGACCTTGCACTTATGTTGGATTTTTGTCAGAACTCGAGGCAGTAGCGATATTGGAGGGAAAGCATATCCCATGATTCCCAGCCTATTGGAGCTCAAGGCATATCTGTCTCTCAGCCTATAGTAGGTTGGCATGAAGAGAGATGTAACCGCTGTTCATCAGTTGTGGTGTGCTGTTATAGCACCATCCAGCATAGCCTTGGTCAAGGCGTTCGTCATTATTCGTCCGTACGTGGTAAACGAACGGCAGCATATCCTCGCTATGCAGTGCATTAAAAATACAGCGCCAACAGCGACCTCATGCAGCCACTATTTCATGCAAATCATTTGGATCCAGACGAACTTGCGCATGGTGCATTTTCAATGTCACCTGAGACCAAGTCAGCAGAGTTGAACTGCTGGTACGTTGTACTGCACAGTTCACATTTTACAGCAGCGGTCTTTAATTTGGTTACATTGAGCTTCTTTGGTGGTTTCGTGCCTTGAGGTCTCCTGAGTGGTTTGATGTTGAAGTTGAACTTCGCACGGATGAATCGATGGTCAGTTGAGCAGTCAGCTCCTCTCATAGCCTTGGTGATTTTCACAGCGATGTCCCTCAATCAGGTGCCAAAGTTTTGAACGGGGATGCATCCATGACGTTTTGTTTTTATTTGGAAGTAGAAACAAAGTGTTGCTAATGGTGAGGTTGTGTTCTGCACATTTTGTGAGAAGAAGGAGACCATTTGAATTGCATGCTCCAATACCATGGTTCCCTATTATGCCCTGCCATGTATGATGGTCAGAGCCAACACGAGCACTGAAGTTACCAGGGAGATTACTTGTTCCAGATCATCATAAAACTTGTCTTTGACATCATCCAGGTTTGTCATGGTAGGTGCATACACACTGACTATGGTGGCATGTTGTTTCGCTGTGAGTGACTGACGCAAAGTCATTAAGCGGTCGTTGATACCCAAGATGTTCAAGATTACCTACGATGTGATTTTTCACGGCAAAACCAACACCAGCTTCATGATGCTCATCGCTGGGACGACCACTCCAGAAAAAGATGTAACCAGCGCCAAGTTCGCCAGCTCTCTGCCAACGAGTGCAGTTCTTCATATAGGTCTATAGGGGCATCACGGAGTGTTCGCACATTTCATGCCGCAAAGTTAAGCAGACGTTGTTTTGCATTCCTGCAGTTGGTATGCTTGCTGTGTGAGTAAGTTGTCGATGACATTTCGTTTTGATGATCATTCATGGTAGAAAGATCGTCCTGGAGGATGTGTCTGTGTAGGGGGGGGGGGGGGACGGTGGAGATGTTATGGCACCTACGCGTGACTTTGATTTGAGTGAAGAAGATTTGCGCTGAGTCAACCTCACTTATCCGCTTTGCCCATCTGGGGCCAGAGGCAAGACAGAGTCAAGACATCTGGAGATGGGTTAAGCTGTAGTGGATGGCCTGCAGTACCTTGCCCTGTGCGCCTGTACCGATGACCTGAGCTCTCCACATAACTTTGCTGCCATGCCATCCAAGCCGGATGATGTAGCATATCTGCTGGGTCCGCCTTGTCTGCCACAGTAGACTTCATGCACGTAGGTGTACTGAGAGAGAGATGGGCATCTCTATCTCTCAGGAAAGTTCGTATCCAAGGTGAAATGTGCAGAATGTACTCAGGATTTTCTTGTGCTCTTTTGTTTCATGTAGATTTTGTAGAGTACTTAAAGAACTTGGAGAAGTACACGCATAGAGCTAATGAGAATAACAAAGAAAGCATAATACTCCTGTGAAACATCTGTCAGTCTTTATTTATTTTGCGATCTCAGAGACAATTGCAAGAGCAGAATGTTGCAAGTGGATTGTTAAGGTGGGATGCAAACAGATCTATGTGGAGAGGGAGGAAGCTAGATTGTTGAACACCGGCTGCACTGTTGGGCGGTGGAGTGTCCAGTCTGGACAATATTTGCCCTCATGACAGGGCATCGGCAATGGGGGGGGGGGGGGGGGGGGGCATTGGGGACATTTCCCCCCAAGTTGTTTCCTTGGCCCCCCACCCTCAGTTTTCCCTCGACACTTTATCTACAAATAGATTAATTAAGTTTATTTTCTTCATAACAAGTTGAAGATAGAAACGGAATAATCAGTTCTATGGACACATTTTGGGCCAATGAAAGCATTATAAATGTTGGTACTTTGGTAGACAAAACACGCCATACATGCATTTTACACAGTCATAGATAGTGTGCAGCCAACGCTATTGTACATTTGTTGTACAGTTTGTTATACACAATTCTGCAGTTTGATACTTTCTCATTCATAAAACGACTACACTTCTTGTGTGGACCATTGACAATGGGAGTGCACGCGCGCTTATACAGAAAAGTTATTTGTGGGTGGCCACACCCCATCCCCACCCCCTAGCAATGCCACATGAGGCAGGGGAGGTTGTGAAATTGCACTTTGTGTAATTTATAAAATGTTCCCTTGCAAATTGGTCTACAGTTTACACTTCTTTTTACGATATTATGACGATATTATGCAAATAGCAGATCTGAATTTGTTGACATGAGGGACGGTGTGGATCGGGCCTAGCAGACTATCTGCTAATCATCCACAGCTCTAGGGATACACAGTGTGTTTTTTGTTTGTAAAATGACCCATAATCAAGAAGATGTTCTTTTTATGAATAACAAATTCAAAACAAAAGAAATACAAATCACAACAAACTTTTTAAGGTGTCCTTGAACAAATACCGGCACCCGGAGCTGGAGGCACACAAAGTCATTCTCTGGAAACCAACCCGCGGACACAGGAGACGAGGAAGATTCAAAATGTCTTACACTGGGGTGCTGCAAAAGGACACCGGTGTGAAATCGACAGACGAACTGGCCACCCTCATGCGGGACCAAATTATTTGGAAAAGCCATACTTGAGCCCGCCTGTGGGCAACAGGGTGGCAAAAATGTTTTGAGTGCTACTGCACAAAGAGTATACAATTGCCCAAGGTTTTTTCACCAGGTATTAAAATATCAATATTGGACCTAATTATAGCAAAAAGGAAATAATTCTGAGTGCCCCAAGCAAGTGGCTTTTTGGAGGGGTAAATATGAGATAAAAATATATTTTTGCAAGTTGTAAAACATGCTTTATTGCAGGGCCTAAAATAATATAAAGATTACAAGTGCTTACATTTTGGCTGGATGGCCTTTGAAAATAACACAAAAAATTCAGTTTTACAATCCCAAAATTGACCCCAAATTGCCAAAACACATAATGGCCTGTTACCAATAAGCCATTTTGAGGTATGGCAGACACAATAGGAGGGTGCTGTTTGATTTGGGTGAAGTCTTTTGTATTTACCCAAACCAAATGGCGCCCTCCTATTGTACCGGCCATATCTCAAATAGGCTAATGGCACTGTACCTAATATGAATTGAGAAGTCTGTTTTGGTTACTTACTCTCCAAGTCCTTTCATCCAACAAAGTATTTTTGTACCATGGACACTTACACAAAGTACAGGACTCTCAAAAACATATGTTGTTTCTCCATTAAGGGCACGTAAGAGCCTTAATACATTGTAGATGAAACGAACCTACAACTTTAATGAGAAAAACCTTGCTCAAACAGATGGAAGGTTGTTACCAAATACCTGTTGAAATTATTTAGCCTAAAGTGACATAATTCGGAAGGAAACAATCATTGAAAGTTATTTAAAATGTGCACCTGCGGGTGCATTTGTTTATGTGCGTTAGTACCACACAAAAACGTGTGCATTTATGTTTTCTCTGTTTCACAAAATGTATAGTAGCAGCTAAGCTAAACCTACACGTTAGTTGTTATGCACATCCTATATTTATGACATATAGTACCAAATTTCCCTGAACTTCCAAATTACAAACTTCGGAAAGTAAATTATGCTCTTTCACTATTCAAATTCAAATCTTCTTGTCCTTAAAAGCAAAGCAGCACGCAACATGGTCATAGTAACTTTAACATTCAGTGGCCATGTTCAGACAGTGTTTTAGCTAAAACAGTAAAAGTTAAAATGGTAGACTACCGCAGGAGGCTGATTGCAAAAATAAAATTACTGAGCATCCAGACATCGTTTTAAGTACAGCAAGTTCAACTCAAGGTGGTTTATCTCAGTTTCTAAGGTAACTTAGAACATCCGCCTCGCCAAAAACCGCGCACTTAAAAGAGCCTTCACTTCTTCCACTTCTACCAGTTCGCTACACATGGTCTGAGCCTCTCACCGTCGTGACGTGTTGCTGTATTTTACATCGTTTAAAAAAAATTACACAAACAGATATTTGGCTAAAACGGGAAGAGTTTTAGCTAAAACCGTTCATACATCATTTTAGGAAATGAATTTTTTTCTGGTTAAGAGATAAACCCACCCTCTTATAGGGTTTAAGTTGCCGTTTTAGCGACGAGTTGAACTCAATTCGGTCAAAATATAAAAGCATTCAGACATCGTTTTAGCAAGAAAGTTACACCGAATCGAGTTTAAACCAGTGTTTTGAGTGAATTTAAAACGATATCTGAACGACCCCACTGAGTGACAATCTGCTCAAATTACCCATTGTTTATTTTTACCCAAAGTCTGCAGGTCAAAGTCAGTGACAGTCACTGACTTTGACCTGCAGACTTTGGGTAAAAATAAACACTTTAAAAATATGTTCATGGTTAGTTTTGTTAGAAACCTACCAAGGCCTGCTGTACATGTTATCTGGTGATGATAACCTCTCCTCCCTGGCCATGGAATGGAAGCCTGGCTGGAGGTGAATCGTTTTAGCCATGGCAGTACTTTTCGATGCTTCCCATTGCCGGGCTGCATTGTTGATTGCAATCCTACGCTTCTCCTGTGCACATAATGACAATCGGATTATGCCTGTACAAACACAATCAGCCCCTCATAACCAGGTCTAGTAATAAGCAGTTCGTAGATTAGGTCCAGTAGTAAGTCAATTGCATGCAGTTCACTTTCTATTACAAACCAAAAAAACCAAAATCTTCAACCTAGAGCCTGAAAATTCACCCCTGGAGGCGCGCTTCCGGAACAGTTGAATAGGAAAATGAACATGCACAATTTTCAAAATATGAAATTATTTTGGGATCATTAATTTTTTTAAGAAAACCACCCCCGACAAAGGCCTCTGTAAAATTGCTACTAGTATATCACTTATACAAACTGATAAATTGCCTAACATGATGCAAAAGATCGTGCCTAAATTGGTGTACGTAGATGAGAATCTCTGAATTTGTGGTGGTCATTAGGTGAACAGGGAAAGCTAAAGTGAAATAAAAGACCGAAATAGTTTTAGGGTTTTCAAGTTGTATATGAAAAGATTTACAGGACTCAATCACATAATTTACGAAAACAATGGTAGAATTGACCAGTGATAGGACTGCACCCACGATCTCCTCAAGCCAGCCCCATTAGATCTAGAATCCATCAGCTATAGGTAGGTAGCTCTTTTCAATGTTATACATTCTCGTTCTCATGCAACTAAGTAGGTCCTACATGATATGAAAACAAACATGCACACACTAGGAGACCAAGGAACAACAATGCCTGATGTGAAAGGTTATAAATGAAATGCATTTTTACCCATCTCCGAGTAATTTTTCCTCAATTTTACTTGAACTATACCTAGATAAAATTCCTTATTGGGGTGGTAACGGTAAGAAATCATTCTGCCAAAAATTACAACAGGTGAAAGGGCAACCCAATAAAAGATACCCATAGGCGGACCACACGAGGGTTCCCGAAGCTGAGCCGCATGACCTTTTACTTTCAGGCTCTATACCTAGCATGGATTGCAAAGTGCTTCTCAATTAATTACTTATGTGTGTATTGCAACTAGGAGTTTTGCACTCTTAATTGTAAACATAATTCTTCCCCCTTCTATTTCATTTCAAACAAAATAAAATAAACCTAGAAATGTGTTTGTCACGTGGACAAACACAGCTGTGTCGGCTGTTTGAGATGACTCTGTGACATGTGATGAAGTCATCATGACGTCACTTTGAATTTCATCTATAACACAGGGTCGCAGTTTAGGTTCATACATGTACCAAGCTACAACCAAACCAGACCTAAAGTTCTCTAGATATAGGCCTTAGAAAAATACCCCTTTAATGTGACATTACATGAAGACGAAGAATAGTTTGTAACTTTTGAGGATCTGCCAGGAATAGACTTTTAAGGATCTAGCATTGCTACTACTGAAGGCCTTTTCATAAAAAAAAAACACAGTCATGATTCCACTTCTGAGTGTGGAATAATGTTTTATTCAACAGACCAAAGGGATAATGATGTTAGTCTTTGTTTACATGTGCATTTTTTTTATGCGGGCATGGTGGCTCTCATCCCAACTGGGCTCTCCTAAGAATGTGGACATGTAAACAAAGCAGGACGTCATCCTGGTGCAGATTCAAACAAGCCTACTTTGTACCTTGAGGACCACCAGCTTGTTTGTCTCTCTCTTCTTCTCTTCCTCCCGTTTGGCTACTGTACTTGAAAGCCGCCGCTCTTCCTCCTGAGGAATACAAAAAGCCAACACTGGCTTAATTAAATTAAAAATAACATTATACACCCAGGGGAACAACGTAGATGATTCAAAGTTGTTAAGTGTACACAAGGCTGTGTACTGATGGAGGAAAAACAGTATGAAGTTTTCCGTAGTCCATTTTTTTTAAAACTCCATATTTCTCTTAATTGTTCAAACTCTGTTTATGAAAAAAATCAACTTTATGACGCCATCAAAAATATCACAAAAGCAAGGCCAGCACAAGATCCCGATCATGTATGGGTTCCAAAAGGGCTGCATCAAGAAAACTCAATCTTGAGAGAGTTCTCATTTTTGAAATTTGTTTGTAAGCAATTGACTTCTTGCAATTCGGGTGATTTTTCACCGTCTTTTTTAAGCGATGTCAATGTGAATAGTAGACATGCGAACTCCTGGTTGACCTTTCACCAGCTGTTTTGCTCATACTGACATATTTAAATATTCTATTCCCTGTCAGTTTGTTAGGAAATGGAGTACTTATCCCGATAACTTGGTTGATATGTTAGCCTGTGCCCCCCTGTCTGCTTTTTTGCGGGAACTAAAACAGTATTTTGATCTGTAATCTGTATTCTCTTCCTTGATTTTTTTTTACTTAGACTTAACTTGATATATCCATTTTAGACTCTGCTGTTGTTTTTTTAGCAAATTTGTTTTGCTATTCCTGGTTAATCGAGTTTGTTTTGCTCTGCCGGATAAATTCCTCCACCATACTCCTTTCCCAGCCCTCTCCTCCACACTTGGTTTTGTTGCTTCTCTTCCCATTTCCTGTCTTACCCTTCCCCTTCCCATTGGCCCTGTTTAACCCTCCCTCTCCTGGTTTTGTTTCTTTGTTTGTTTGTTTGTTGGGGTGTCGGGGTGTTTGTTTGTTTGTTTATCCCCCCCCCCCTCTTCTCCTTCCCTGTCTCCCTCCCTCCCTCTGTTGTACTGCCCCGTTCTCCTATCCACTTCCTTTACTTAGCCTCATCTGCCCTGCCCATTTGTTTAATCCCATATTATACTCCCTTGGACATTTCCTCCCTTGTGCAATTTTGGTAGTTTTAATTGTTTTGTGCTTGGTCTATGTTATGTGTCTGTCATTGTGCAGGGTTGGAGAGACATGCCCCATTGGCGACAGTGTTTTGTTTCACTTTTGTTCTTCTCCTTGGCAGCCCTGCACTGTCCATGTTCTGTCTTTCGTGTGTAGTGTTTACTTGGTTTCTTATTGTTTGTATATCCTTTTGTTTTAATATCAAATTTTATGTATTTATTGTAATTGTGTGTATATATGTCCATCTGCCGAATAAAATATTATCATTATTATTATAATGGCCAAATCTGAAGTCAAACCAGCTGAGGTTCAGGCTGATATAGCAAGGAAAGTTCATCCAAGGTCAACCTGATGAGGATAAGTTGTTGAGGTGAATTTGAATGTGGCTCAAGCTGTGGAGACTAGCGGACAGAAACTAATGAGTGAGAAGATGGTGAGAGCATTGAAGACACCAGAAACAAGCCAGTTTGATATGAAAAAATTATCCAGGCTCAGAAAGAAACGTATTAAGAGAAGTTTTGATGGCTATTTGGTCAGGATCATGAAGTCCAGTTCAAGGTTAAAAATGGGCTGCTTTATAGAGAATTCACCACACCATGAACATAACAGGGTCACACAGGGTTACATAGCGTAATAATTAACCCTTGCAAAAATTTTAAACATAGCTTGGGCATCGGTCCATTTTGGTAAGGCTTTTGCTGTGCCCACTGCAGGCTATGTTTTATAGCATTTGACATAGAATAACTAATTTGAGATGATAAACAAAAACTTTGGAATGATAAATTATTCATGAACATTTGATATAATGTACTATACACTTCCTGAATATATTAGGTGGGTCATGCTTACAAGTATGTTTCATCCTTGCACAAGCCATGTGCAACAAGATATCAAGAGTCTCATCTGTAGGGATTTGATTATTGGGGAAAAGAAAAACCTGAAAATCTAATCTATCTCACAATGGTAGTCCTAGCCTTGAGAGAGTGAAGCCAAAATGTCCAGATGCACTGTAGTACATTCTAAGCCTTCCTGGAACAGCTTTTGAACATTTTTTTTTCAATTTCAGTCCCTTTAACTTAAGGTTAACTTTGTCTGAAGATTTTTGTCATCAATGCATGAATAGGATGTAATGACTTGTTGAGAAATTAAACATCACTACGCCTAGTTCTGATTCTAATCATGTTTCACCTAAAAAAACTATTTCTACTCATATGTTGTTCCGGGAAAATGCTTTTTAAACAAGAATAAACAAAATAAATCATAGTTCTGCTTCCGGTTACCCAAACCATGCCCAACTTTATTGCGTGTCCCTAACATTACTTTATCAGAATATTTTGTTCTTTTTTTCAAAATTACCGGTTGTTTGGAACAATTTAAGGGGTCTTATGGAAGGTCATAAATGTGTAGACCCTAACATTTTTTATCGGCTCAGAGAAAAAAAAAAGTCACAAAAAGGCTTCTCAACAACTTTTTTTAATATAAAAAATGCTTGTAATATTTCTGTTTTTGTTTGTTTGCCTACTGACATATCGCTACTTTTTGGAAGGAAACCTTCTTAGATTTCCCCCAATGTGATCGGAAAAATATAAACTTCGCAGTGGTGAAAAGCCCATGCCTTACAGTGGCCAAAGTTGAGGACCAGAACCAGTCAATGGCCAACATAGCGAGATAAACAAGTCGAATTTGACATCGTAAAAATGCCATACAAACATAGATGGAGAAAGAAAAATTCTATAAGTTTAGTCACAGAACTATTTTGAGGTTGTACTGCTTGTACTTATTTTTGCGAATTTTCTACCACAACACGTGATTTGGTGCCTGCTACACTGTGTGCAGTCACACATGCTGTATGTGCTGCGCGATGAAGGCCTACGGCAGGCCCCCCCCCCCATTTTCTCAACAGATTTACATGATCTAGTTGGTTGACTTTTGGGGCAAAAAAACCCCAAGACTTCCAGTATAAACTGGAAAAAATCACATTTCTGAATCTGAATTTCTGAAAAAGACATGTTTTCCATGTGGAATGAAAATCACAGCTGTTGAAATATCTCCACAACAAGGTACAACCATGCAAAGCAAAATCCAAGAAAGACTTGGCACAGAGACATAACGAGGCTCAATCAGCAGACTGGAATAAATGTTGATTTATTTGGTTGAGTACCGGGACAAATTAGAATAAATCTACTTTAGCACTGATGTAAATGAGATATGGTAGAGTGGTTAAGGGCGGGTAATTCGAATATGGAGTGGCACATGCATGTGTATGTGTTTGGATTGAAGCTAGATCACTTCACGCTTGCGAGCAGCAATGACAACACACAATTTTTAACACCAGTAGTTGTCAAGTTATTATTGTATAGTTAAAGTTGTTCAACGTCTTAAACAGTTCATTCTAAGAGACGGACATTGCTACCCTAACCTGAAGCAGTTGTCTTGCATAGATCAGGTGTACATTTCCACTTTTCCAAATTTGGTTGTGTGTTTTTTTTTGTATCTGGCAGTCAACACAGCAATGGGATTCAATGTAACATCAAATGTGGTACAAATATTCATAAAGAGCCATAACATCTGTCATAGACAAGTCAAAGTGCGCCTAACAGGCTGCCACACATGCATCAATCCTCTCAGCTTTCTTCAACATTTCTTTGTGATCCTCACTTCAAAGTGTTCTGCACCTTTAAACACTGATCGAATTTGCATCATGGAATCCACTAGTTACTTTGGATGATCCAACATTGCCCTACTTTGGAGATTTTTGTGATTGTCTTCTTGCTTGGTTGTTGCTGTTTCTTGGCCTGTATATTTCCATCAGCCATGTCTTCATTGTTATCTGATGTTCATCCAAGCCTGACCTTGTAACAATAGGTTGAATGCACAGTGATCACAGCTCACAATAGTTGAACAAATGGAGCCCTGCAAGCCGTATTTCCTGCTTGGTCTGTGTGTGCTATTCAGCATATGTCTACGGTGGCCCTGGAACGACATTTTAATATTGACCTTTTTAATATGAACCTTGTAACTTCTTAATATTGACGTTGTACTTTCACAATATGCACGTAGCTTAATATCGCATTGTGGAAGTTGTTCCTTCTTAATGTGAATGTTCCAACTTGTTAATGTTCACGTTCGATCTTGTAAATGTACATCATTGATCACGCTTGATGTCAACGTTGCACCTTGCTTCTTCGCAATATGAACCATGTACCTTCGCATCGTGAACGTTTGACCTTGCATCATGCATTATAAAAAGTACGAAGTCCTTGTCAAGCCCTTTAGTTAAACAACCAGTTATGATGGAGTTTCAATCTGACAGCTGTTTAATGTCCCTTTACCTGGGTCTACCGTGTAGTGATTTTTATCATGAATCAAGGCTCTCTGATTTATTTCACATATCTTTTATAATTCATGTTCAGGCTAATGAGTGCTGTTTCACTAGAAAAGATGTGTTCAATTCATGAGACTAATTAATTTCTTGACGGTATACTCTCCGTCAATTACAATAATTCAAAACAGTGTTCTGTGATCACGCTAAGAAGGCTTTTATCATAATACTTTACATCCTTCAAGCCCCATTCAGATTTTTTTGTGTTTTTAATCATAGTTACGAGAGATTTCCGTCGAGATCCGCGTATTTAATTAGTATAAGAGTATGATCTAAGGATGTAATTGAAAGGAACATCATTTATATGCGGTGGTACCGTTACGAAATAATATCCACGTCTTATAAAGCATGACAACAATAGTAAGGGCATACATTGATATTTATTACTTCGGGGAAATATCGAGTATTTCACCAATGGTCCCATTCCCGTCAATCATTGTAAAAGCGATAGCGCGGGGCACAGGTGGCTTCGGTCAATTCTTGTCTGGCCTCCCCATACTATTATTTCAAGTTCCGTTAAAATGTTTACCTGATGTATATTATTCAATTTAATTACCTTATAGTATGGAAATAAACCTGAAACCTGATACACCCGCAACATACTCGAGCTTGTCTAGGGACTAGACGTTTTTATGGTTGAATGCGCGATAACCCGCCACCGCGAGAGAGAGCGCCGCATCACGACCGCACCGTTGCGTTGAGCGCGAATCACGTGTTGTCGGGGCACCCTATACCAAGTTGTTTGCTTGGAGTTCATGACTGGTCGTCAGCCAATTGCGAATATTCTTCACGTTGCGGTCAGGCGCGGATATTCGGGGGGGGGGGGGGGGTATGTAGGGTTCGACTTTGCAGTAGCCCGAAAACCAAATGCTCGTCAAAACAGCGGGGATCCTCATACTATTTGGTAAGGAGCCCTGTTGGCGAGTAAAAAATTATTGGGATATGGCAAAGATGAAAGTACAGGAAGAAAGAAATCATTACATTCAGAAAGCAAACCAGCCGGTATAAATTTGTGTATAGTAAACGGTTGAAATGATTAGATCGGGTTATTTGAAACAATGACAAATTTGCTTCAGGATGCATGTTTTTACATGTATGCCCAACCTTGGGTTATGGTTAGCCTGAACATGTATTATAAAAGATGAGTGAAATAAAACAGAGAGCCTTGAGTCATGATAAAAATCACTACAAGGTAGACGCCCAGGTTAAGTGACATTAAACAGCCGTCAGATTGAAACTCCATCATAACTGGTTGTCTAACTATAGAGCTTGGCAAGGACTTCATACTTTTTAGAATGCATGATTCACATTGCGAAGGAGTACGGTTCAACAATGATATTAACAAGATGCAAGGTCAAACGTTCACAATACGAAGGTACATGGTTCATATTGCGAAGAAGCAAGGTGCAACGTTGACATCAAGCATGATTAATGGTGTACATTGACAAGATCGAACGTGAATATTAACAAGTTGGAACATTCACATTAAGAAGGAACAACTTCCAAAATGCGATATTAAGCCACGTGCAACGTGCATATTGCGAAGGTACAACGTCAATATTAAGAGGTTACAAGGTTCACATTAAAAAGGTCAATATTAAAATGTCGTTCCAGGGCCACCATATTTGTCAAATAAGTGAACAGACATCTACTCTGAAGTTTGACCATGGATGCAGAGTAAATGGAAGGTTTCAACTCAAAGGTTTTCTCAAGACTCGCATTGCGTATTACAGTAATTCATCTGCCACCTTCACCATACTCTTACTGTGCTGTGGTGACATCAATCCCAATCCTGGACCCAACCATGCTGATGATGAACTTGTAACACAGAAAAACCCCACTAACATTTGCTACATAAGGACTCAGTTGCTAACTATTAACACCAACTGTTCTAGACAGGTTGTCCAACCTAATACCTGGGGAATACTAAAGAATCTAGGTATCCAGCGCAAAACACACAGAGGCACTTGATCTGGATCTCGGAAATCTAAGCACACCACAACCACTGACCCTACCACAGCGAATGTCAATATCGTTTCTCCACCTTCCGGTTCAACCACAGCATCTGCTAGTTCTTCAAGTTCTTTGAATGCAAACCATGAAAGTGAGAAATGCCCTGACATATGCCTTTGGAACGCCCGCTCTGTTCGTAACAAGACTATGTCATGAAATATGATGTTGATATCATGGTACATTGTACTAACAGAAACTTGGCTAAATGAGGATGACTATGTAATAATTGGTGAGTTCACCCCACCTGGCTACTCATTTTGAATGTACCTCGGCCTTGTGATGAGTGTAACCAAAAAACACTCAATCATGGCGGCGTTGGAATTGTCCACAAAAATCCACTCAAACTGTTCATATTACTGACAGATATCACATCTACTACTTTTGAACATGCATTGTTCTGTGACAACAAAAAAGATTTTGGTTTTTGTTGCTATTTATAGACCGCCTCCATCACCGAAGAATGGTTTTACAACTGCACATTTTCTCTCAGAATTCGATACATTTCTGAGTGTCATGAATCTCAGGGCGCAAAGATTACTCATCCTTGGTGATTTTAACTTGCACATTGACCAGCCATCTAGATCTGATGTCTCCCAATTCATGACTTCTATCACTGCAACTGGATTTACTCAAATTGTGACAAAACCAACACATAAGTCTGGCCATACACTGGACTTGATATTATGTCGTTCTGATGATGACCTAGTCACTCTTGCTGGGTTCATGATGACCATCTTTTGGACCACCATATCGTGGGTTGTAGTCTGCTAATGCGTAAACCTATGTATCCTCATGTTACTTCTAATCAACGGAGCTTCCGTTCAATGAACCCCCTCGCATTCAGAACAGATTTATCACAAATTTTCATGAGTTGCCTCACTGATTCAGATGTGAATAATCTTGTCAGTGAATACAAAACAGCCATCCTCAAAACTCTTGATCGTCTTGCACCTGAAAGCACATGTTCTCGCAAAGTTCGACTTCATTAGCCATGGTATAACAATGAGATACATATGGCACTTAAAGTTCGCCGCTGCTTCAAAAAGAGGTGGCGCAAGAGCGGTCTGGAAGTACATCGCCTGCTTTTTATCGACCAACGCAGACAGGTTAATGGACTCATTGATAGGGCAAAGAGAAGCTACTTGCTGATAAACTCAAATCTGCAGACACCAAAAGTATTTTTCGTACAGTTGGAACTCTACACAATAAGAATGCAAAATCTTATCCCAGTCATGATTCTTCACGAACACTCAGCGATGATTTTGCAATTTCTTTGTGACCAAGATATCCACTATACACACGAATCTGAAAGACGAGCTACGACTGAGCAGGTTGGTTACTGATGTTGGTAATCCTTAGATTGCAGGATGTGCAACACCGTACCATCTGTGTGAGTTTGACTTGACATCTGAGGCAGAGATCCGCAGATTAATAAGTTTGTCACCTTCCAAATCATGCAGTTTGCAACTCTTCCCTAACAGCTGGTAAATTTCCTGACCAGCTTAAACAAGCAGTCATCACGCCGATTCTGAAGAAGTCTTCATTAGACAACAATGTATTGAAGAATTATCGTCCCATCTCCAACCTAGCATTTCTCTCCAAAGTCATTGAATCGAGACTGCCCTTCTTAAAGTAAAGGATGGACATTCATGAGGTCAATCGGAGAGAAAATAGGCATGTTCTTGGGCTTGCTGCTTGACCTAAGCGCAAAGCCTTTGATACGGTCGACCATCAGATTCTT